TAAATATGCAAGATAGATTCTGATGAGAAAAATTGTCTAGTACGAAACAATGAACAGACTTTCCTAGCAGCAAACCTAGCAGTTGATTCAATATAATCTATCTACTCCAGGTATTCACAAACAGAAAAATTATCACTGGTATTTTCTTTTAATGATATCAATTAAGCACAAAACATCCTTGGCAAGCATTTTTATCCTTGTAATGAAAAAGACAGCACATACTTCTAGATGTAGAGGTATGAAACAAGCTTGCTCTCAAACCAGAATTATTATGATTTGAATGAATGAAAATTCTTACTGTAAAACTTTGAGCATTAATCAAAATGTTATTTGTTTTTGCCAATGCTATTTAATTACAAAGGATTGTTAAAAAAAGCTCTCAAGCTGACCAAAACCACTTACTAAAAATTGAACAAATGTCAATTTAAAAAAAAAAAAAAAAAGGGCTTCTTGTTTGACCCAATAATTTTTCAGCAATCTCTCATTAAATAAAGACAGAATTAAAAAATTTCCAATTTGTTCTATAAGTGGTAAAACTTGATCTTACTTATTATAAAACGCAGATTGTGTGCGTGTGTGTGTGTGTCTGTACATTTATATATTGGATCAGGTTTCCTACATTTTTCAACCGATTTCAACAAAACTTCACAGGACTATGTAAAATTACCTTGCAGTGGTTCTGACAGCGCCAGAAATTGGAAAAACAATTATTTTTACACAAAATCAATTTGAAAACATGATTAAGAGGCATTAATGAAAGGGGGCCAACTCATATCGAGTTATACTTATTAATATCAAGTTATACTTATTATAAAACCCAGGTTGGTTGTTTGGGTGTGTGTGTTCATTTATATATGGGATCGGATTTCCTACATTTTTCAACCAATTTCAATAAAACTTCACTTTTTTTTTTTGGCAGGTAGTGTTTCTTATTGTCTTGCACACTTTTTTCTTTATTTTTACATTCAGAATGCTTTAAAAATTCCATTTACAAGACAATTGTTTATAATAAAATTCTATTCAGTCGGTAGACTCATAACGATTGAAAACAATGTTTTTGTTTGAGTTTGACCAATTCGTAAAAAAAAAATAAAACTAATTAAGACATGCGTGTCCGTCAACTTTAAACAATAATCTTTGTCAATTTTATTTTTCAGTCTTTATGATGGTGGATACTTGATCTATCTCTTACTGTTATATCCCCGGGCAACGCCGGGCTCTACTGCTAGTATGTACTAAGCTTAGCTTAGTATGAGGGAGTGCTAAGAAGTTTGGTCCAACCAAGAAAAACAGAAAAAAATGTTTTGGTCATTTTGTCAGATTTTGGGAAGCAGGCTAAGTTAAGAACCTTTCAGCTCTCCTCTGGGCAATATAAAGACAAACTCTGAGAGGACATACCTTCTTAGAAAAATTATTAATTCAATAATCCTGCTTTCACTTGGTATAGTATGACAAAGAAAAATAGAGGTCAAATGAGAGTGTTAACCTTTCCAAGTGACAATGGTCTGACTGCTTAATAAAATTAAAGAAAAAAAAAGTTTTTTTTTTTGTTTTTTTTTAAATTTCAACTTTAACCCAGGCTTCAACATTGAACTTTGGCACTGGAGGTAAACATAGAGCTATTTTAGGAAGTATGCCACTATAAATTGTTAAAAAAAAAAAAAAAAAAAAAAAATATTTTTTTATATAATGAAGCAAGCTGTGAGAAAAAGAAAAGATTTTGGTGCATTTTATTGCAAAAGCAAATTTTGATTTATTAGATATGAGCCAAAGTTCTCAGCACTTTTTTTTTTTTTTTTAAATAGTAACTTAATACACATCGGAATAATCATTTTTTTCTTTTAATAATGATGATAATAATAATAATAATAATAGATAAAAAACACAAAACAGTTGCCCACACCTAATCTAATACAAGGCCCAAGAGCCACTCAAGTAGGCAGTTACTGTGTTGTGTTGTGTTGTATAAGCATAAGACAAGACAAGAATTTCATGGGGTTATGCAGAAAAGATAATAGACTTGAAGATGTCAAGATTGTAGTGATTGAAAAATATCTGACCAAGAGCCTGTTCCACAAAGCAGCTGTTCTTGGGAAGAAGCTGTCTGAGTGGAACTTACTTCCTACTAATGAAATACGAAAAGAATGGGGATGATTCACACTTGTGTACATGGTATGGTAGATCCAAGTTGTAATGGTTAGGTGTGGTGAATTGGAGAAATATAGCTCATCAGAATACATGGCATGGAAATAGCGATAGAGCAACAAGAAAATCAACGTTGTGTCTGTGGAAAAGGGGTTGTAGGGTAGAAAATATTTCATCACCCACAAGGTCGTGTAAACACTTTTGAGCTGCCCAGTCCTCACTTACTTGCCTTTATTAAGACAGTCAAGTGAGGACTGGGCAGCCCCAGCCCAGATATGGCAGCAATACTTGCTAAGAAATTCAAAGCAAACAAGTTTTTGCATATCTTAACACAGAAAAGCAAAAGATTTTATGCAATTATTCAGTTTCTGTCTCTAGCAATGCACATGGCTTCTTCATAAGCCATAGTAGAATATTGAATAAATCAGAAAAATACTTTGACATAAAATGTTTATCAAAATATTTCCTTAATATTTTATGCTATTTCAACATTTAAACCAAAGCAACTAACTTTCAAATCAAAATTAGAGATGAGTAGAAATCAAGACACCAACTTAGGTTTTCTATTAAAATATTTTTAATATGTCAGTATAATATATAAACAATAATTTGCTCTTCCTGTTCCTTTTACAGATTATTAAATGGAGCATAGCAAATTTATAGAATAGGCAAGAATTATTGTAGGATCTAATTAAAACAATAAGTATATCATTGCTGTTATATGCTACTGGGAAGAAAGTGTAGATATAATAGCACTATTCTGTCAGTAACAATTGTATTAACCCTAGCCATTTTTTTTTTTTTACCGATTTTCAATGTATAGTATAAAAATAGAATATTGAAAGCTTTTAAAACAAGTTTTAGATTAAAAGCTTTTCACTATTGCCAAAATAATTAGTATAGATTATAGCTAAAGGAAAGTAAAAATAGTGGAATAGTCAGTGGACAGCAAAAAAAAGTAACTTTCTTTACATATAGCAAATTCAGTTAGCACTGAAATACAAGCATGATTCCTACCACTAAACATAATTTTCTGTATCATTTAAGCAAATGATGTTACAGGCTATATAAAATTATACAATTTAATATAGTTTTCATGAAGAATTATTATTGGTAAAAATTAAGCTTATCACATAACTGAATTTGCCTAGGACTATCCCAGTCTCCCTGCTAGAGATGCCCTGAAGGTAATGAAAACCTTTATACAAAAGATTAAACCTATGACAAAAATTGTACACTTTTCCAATATGAGGTTTGGAAATTAAGATATGTCTAATTATGATAATCTTGATGCACAACTGCACAGTTGTAAAAGCAGTAAAATCTCAACCCTGATTGATTATTAACACAGGTAATTATTGTGTGAGCATTTGAAAATACTAATATCTCACCTGGCTTTTATTATAACGATACATTGTTTACAAATAAACAATCAAGACTGAATGAAAACAACAAAAAAACCTACAAATAAATAGATATCTTACAAAAATAATAAAAAAAAAACTAAAGTTCTTACTCCTTAATAATGTTTCTCTTTTTTTCTTGTTTTTCCACACTCAGTAACTCCTTGTGTCTTAGTTGTTTTACTGACTTGCATGGGGTGAAATGATAAAAAAAACTAAGAAAATAATCTAGTCCACTGATTATGCATGCTAGCACAATGAAAAAACACATAAAATAAATAAGAAACTTTAAAGAGAGCTAGATGCAATTTGTAAAACATTTGGTAATGTAATGTCTGTACAGACAAAAGACTTATAATTAAATAATGATAGTAACCAAGAAACTAAACAAGATTAAGCAATTATATGACACAAAGCAATGAACAAAATAGAACACTTTGCAAGAGAGTAGCAACCTATATTTGAAATGGGAAAATATTAATGTTTCAATGTATAAGTCTATTGTTATAGATTCACTATCAAGTAAATTAATCATCTTCAAAGTTAGTTCTTATTCAATAATGCAGGATGTATTCTTAAAACGGTTTTAATAATTGCTCTGTACTTTTGGAATATTAATTATAAACTGTATAATGAAAATATTAATTCCTTGTATCTTGCCTAAGAATATCTGGAAGATTTTAAATGATATTTGTTATTAGCAGCTAAATTTTATTTTTTTAATAAATTTCAGATAAAGGATTAAAATGTGCATTTTAATGGGAATAGATTTCATTTCACCAGAATAAAGGGTCACATTTTTAATATATGTGAAAGTCAACCTCTTTTTCAAATGTAAGATATACATTGTTCATTAAGAGTACTTAAGAGACTAACAGCAAAATATACAAGTTATTTTAAACTTTTATAGACAGCCCTCTACTCATAATACCAGCATATTCAATACAAGTAGAACAATTTTTTTAAATATTAAAGAATAATTAAGCTAAGTATTAAGGAATAGTAAAATTTCATTAGAAATAAAGAAAAGAGTATTGAATTGTTATGTAAAATCAGTTCTCCTATATGGCAGTGAATGCTGGACAATCTCCTCCCAGATGAAGATGCTTGAAGCAACAGAAATGTGGTTCTACAGAAAGATGCAGTGAATACCATGGACTGAACGTAAGAGCAGCAATGAAGTTTTCGAGAAAATGGAAACAAAAAGGACACCTATACTTAACATCAGACAGAGAGAGTTGAAATTTCCAGAGCATATATAATGAAGAAAGAGAACTTGGAAAATTTGATACTCACAAGACAGAGTGAAGGACAGGAAAACAAAGCATAACCTTCTTAGCAAGCTTGTGTAGATGGATAGTGAAACAGAGTTTATGAGAGATAACAAAAAGACAAAATTTATTAAGAGCTAAAGAGGGCCATAGCATATATAAAGTATGGTTGATTCATAACCTATTGAAAGAGAAAAGAGAAAGAAGAGAAAAGAGAAAGAAGAGAAAAGAGAAAGAAGAGAAAAGAGAAAGAAGAGAAAAGAGAAAGAAGAGAAAAGAGAAAGAAGAGAAAAGAGAAAGAAGAGAAAAGAGAAAGAAGAGAAAAGAGAAAGAAGAGAAAAGAGAAAGAAGAGAAAAGAGAAAGAAGAGAAAAGAAAGAGAAAGAAGAGAAAAGAAAGAGAAAGAAGAGAAAAGAAAGAGAAAGAAGAGAAAAGAAAAGAAGAGAAAAGAAAAGAAGAGAAAAGAAGAAGAAAAAAGAGAAAGAAGAGAAAAGAGAAAGAAGAGAAAAGAGAAAGAAGAGAAAAGAGAAAGAAGAGAAAGAAGAGAAAAGTAAGAGAAAGAAGAGAAAAGTAAGAGAAAGAAGAGAAAAGTAAGAGAAAGAAGAGAAAAGTAAGAGAAAGAAGAGAAAAGTAAGAGAAAGAAGAGAAAAGTAAGAGAAAGAAGAGAAAAGTAAGAGAAAGAAAAGAAAAGTAAGAGAAAGAAAAGAAAAGTAAGAGAAAGAAAAGAAGAAAAGAAAAATTGAAAAAGAAAATCTGAATTTTTTTTCATGGATAATGCATTGATTATTGTGTCTTTCCCCAATGAAAATTTGATAGTAAAATTTTATTTACTTATAATCAATCATGTAAGAAGTCAAACTAAACATCAATCATTTTATATTATATTCCTTCGAAACCTCATGAGGGCCTAAAAATATGTAAACCTATGAGGACTGAATTATGTCCTGTAAAACCCATGAGAGCCTGAAATCAATTTATAAACCATATTCTTCTCAGTTAACAGAAATTAGATTTTAGCAACATAAGATTTAGCAGCAAATGTCACGGTCTTTCTTTCTTATAGAGAAACAAATTATAAATATATCTGGAATCTTTTCAGACAAATGATCAACTGTTGCAAGCATCCCTCAAGAAAAAATAAATGAAATAAAATTATTATTATTATTATTATGTAGTAGTAGTAGTATTTTCAAAAGCGTTTTTGTAAAGATGTTAATCATGTTCCTTACTTTTCTACAATACTGGATGAAACGATTGTCTGAAATGTTGCCCTTCACATGAATTGGGAGACAATATTTATTCATTACTTGCAACAAAAGTCATTTATTTCATATGAACAAAATGTACTACTTGGAAGAAAAAAAAACTATTTCTACAATAAGATCACTGTGTTGCACAAGACAGTTTTTCTCTACAGAATCTATCTTACATATCTATAAGTCCACCATTCATCCATGCTTAGAATTATGCTGTCACGTATAGTCCAGTGCCCTTGCTATTTACCTTGAGCTTCAAATCGAAAGAAGAATCAGCAATATTATTAGTCCTGATCTGGCGGCTTGGCTTCAGTCACTTTCCCATCACCATAAAGTTGCCTCTCTGTGTCTTGTCTATAAATACTTTCATGGTAATTGTTTGGATGAGCTCTTCACAATGGTACCTCATTTAAGCATTGAGATCTCAATTTACAGTTAATCTAGTGAGATGTAACTGTAAATTCTATGCTAACAGTTTCTTTTCTCACACTTCTCAGTTGTGGAACTCCCTTCCAGGTCTATGCTTTCCAGCCAACTTTAATCTGCAAAAATTTAAATGCAATGTCAATCGCTATTTACTGTTCTCCTGATAAATCTTTTCACTTATTGTTAATGTTTCTGTTCCTAATTCTTCCACACCCTGTAACTCCTTGTCTTAGTGATTTTACTGCCTTGCATGGGGTGAAACTGATTTAAAAAAAAAAAAAAATAAAAAAAAAAAAATTAGATTAAGTATTGTCCATTACGAAGTTTTGATTAATATTTCTTAAATAATTTTCAAAACATTAAGTCTTATTACTATAGTAATAAGACGTACTGTTTTGTTTTTTTTAATTTCTTAGAGAAAGCACCGCTAATTTTTTTTTTTTTTGACTAGTATTTTTTTCATCTTAATTTCAGTTGCTTTTTATAACTACTTGCATCATCATTATATGGCTGTTAGTAAGCAGCTTAAATTGAAAATAAAGAGTAAGCTCTCAGCAAAACTTGAGCCTGCATCCCTTTTTGTTTTGGGAAGCCTGTTTTCATGTGGTAGCCATTCTACTATTTGAACTTAAAAGCAGCAATGATTGCAAAAAATAAAATATAACCATTTAGCCTTAGTGTTCATTTACCCCTGGATAAAGATTGCCTTTTCCTCTGAAAGCTTGTCTTGGTTGATTTTGTTTAGCAGCATATCAACCTCTAGGAGTTATTTAATACTGAAATCTAAATATTTTGAACACAATTGTATGCCCTCAACTACAGATAAAATGTATTGGTCATTTTGCTATATAATGTATTTTTGGTAATTTTACTATTGTATGGTTGGTATATCTTAATATAAAATGTAATGCTGGTAATTTTTTATATAAAAATATGTGTTTCTGGTATTTTTACTATAAAAATGTATTTTTATACTTTCATAGGTTTTTATTTTTGTTTGGGGTGTTCACTATTTGCTCATAGCTGGGACCCTAACAGGTGCTACTACCCCAGATCAGGGTAGACCTGGGAACAACAACAATTAAGAGGTGGTTCCACGCTCCTCAAAATCTCCAACCTACTGATCAGAGGTCTTGCTGCCAGATGTAGTTTATTGTCATACCCAGGACTAGAAGCTTGTCTTAGTGCAAGGAGAAAAAGAATATGAATTCAAGTCTCATTGAGAGACAATACTTTACTTCAAATCAGAACCAGTTATTAATGGCTATATAATAACTTGCCAAATCATTGTGATAAAAAGTAAGATGAAATATAAAGAAGTTAAAAATTAATAATAGTTAACAATGATTTAGTTAATAAAATTCAAAAAATATTATTGTAAATACTAGTTTATGTAAAAAAGAAAAATTCAAATGGCAAAAATGCAGAATAAGGCTATATAGTTAGCATAGACATACAAATATTGTATCAAAACTCAAGTGGAAAAAAAAAAAAAAAAAAAAAAATGGTGGAGTGGGAAACAAAATGGATACTAGTTCAAGTCTAACCAAACCTTATTTTTTTTATTTTTAATCTGGATTGTTTGCCAATAGTTGCTGAAGAATGTATGAGTAATTGTGATAAAAAGCAATTGAAATTATTAAGATAAAATGAAATCATGGAAAAAAAAAAAAAAAAAAATTTTGGAAGTCAGCTATTATGAACATATTGGGACAGAACTTTTAGATAACATTATGCAGCCGATAGCATTAAGCAAAGTATATAATAATTGAGACAACTTAAATTATTCTTTATACATTTATTACTATATTATATGAATTGTTATAAACAACTTTATATTATACAACAACACACTGATTATAATCGGCTGATAATTTTGAATACATTAAGGAAGAAAGGAAAATGAAGGAAGGAAGGAAAAAAGGATAAAAAAGAAAATAAAAGGTGTATTAACCAATTTTTATAACAATAAATGTCTGATAAAATTATCCCCAATTATAATTAATGAATTCTTCTGTAGTTAATTTTTTTTTTTGCTAATTATTTCTATTAGATCAGATACAGATTCAATTTAAAATCAAAGTGTTGAAACCCACTGGCCTATACATTACAAAGATATTGTACATGAACCAAATGGGCTTATTAGCAAAAATTTTCTCTATTGATAGGTCTTAAATACCTTTGTACCCAATACACTAAACTTCAACATTAAAGAGTTACAGATGGGATGGCAACATTTAATTACTAACAATTTTTTCTATCATTGACACACATTAAACTGCCTGATATGAAATAGTTTGTTAACATTTAGTCCCTTCTACCACAACTACGAATCTCAATGTGATAGCCTTCAAAGCATATTCATTTGGTTAGAGACAAATAACAAAAAAAGTAAATATCTAGAAGTTTCAAAAGGAAAATCACATACTTGATGTTCTATATTCCTTAATTCCTCAGTTATAAAGAATAATTATGGAAAGAAAAAAAAAATGCTTATAAATATGAATACTTATAGATAAATTTATTAGTTTTTTTATTTACTTTTTCAAATACTGTTTTGATTAGTAATTGTACTTTAATCATATTTTCAACATTTCATTCTGGAGGTCATCAGAAGACACATGATTCATACAGGGGTGTTTAGATGTTACTTTAGTACCATTAACCCTACCATCAGGTTATAAGGCACAGAGTGATTTTTTGAAGAAGAATTTTGTATGAGATATATATATATATATATATATATATATATATATATATATATATATATATATATATATATATATATATATATATATGGTGAATTCTCCTGATGTATTCAATGTATGAGAGTCAAGCAGCTCTGTTCCTAGAAATGGACAGCCAGACACCAACACATATGACTTGATTATAGTGGTGAAGGCTTTGTGCAGAACCAACCACACTTTTTGAAGAGCTGAATACAGAGACATGGTGCACTATGTGCCACAAGGTCCCAAAACAACCTTCTGCAGGTTTTAAATTCAGAGTTGTCCTCCTAGACCAGTTACCATCCAAGGCTATAGAACCCAGTCTGTCCTTCATAGCTGTAGGGAGAAGAGGATTAATACCTTTCCCAAGGGTATTAGCATGTACGTGAATGTAATGGATTCGACTGGAATTCATACTCAGCTCCCAATTCCTCAATCTGAGATGCTATCCACTACTCCACCATGTCTCCGTATATATTTTATAGAAATTCATAAGCAAGAGATGTTTGGTTTATGTTTCCTTTATCTTATTACTTTTTATCACTCTTCAACTAATAAGTGTTGAATTTTGAATGGAAGACAATAGCATCATGATTAGATGAAGGTCAATCTTTTGTGTTCTACTTGTTCACATTTATCACGAGAGAAAAAAAAAAAAAATCATCAATATTCAAATTTTTGATATTTTGTACTTACAATGTACCATATTTTTCAGTTTACAAGACGCACTTTTTCCTGAAAGATATGTGTGCGGCTTCCAAGATGAATGTAAGGCAACGCCCAGGCTCAAGTAAGCTTGGACAGTCACCTAAATGGCTTGACTGATAGGGACATAGTCTATCTAATTCAACCTCATTACTTAACTGTTACAAGTATTTCCAAGACTATAAACCTTCCTGGTGCCAAGCCACAAGCTTACACATGCTCAATTTACTAGCAGTGATTAATGTAAACAATACGTGGCACCAGTATGTGAGGGACGTATGATCAATGTGTTGTTGTAGGAGAATGACTTAGAAATTTCTTTCCAATATTAGGGTGCATCCTCCAAGCCACAGCATCTTGTAAGCCAGAAAATATGGTAATTACAAAATTTATTTATCTGGGAAGTAAAATAATTCAATCCATGCATAGATTATGGCATTTTGTCAAATTTAAAATAATGTAAAATTTTATTTGTCTCATCAGAAAGTTTACAATATAGAGGTAAGTAAATTAACAATTTTTATGTACTTGACTATTCTGGAACAATAAAAAAGGGTTACATTAAGCACCCCCCCTATATATATATATATATGCTGAAGGGCCCATCTATACTAGGAAAGTTATTGAGATTTGGATCACCAGGGACCAAGATT